GATAGTTGTAATTGTTATCAGAGCATTAGACCCCATTCCTGAAGTCAAATAAGCTTTGGTCTTTAATGTGTTCCTTTAAAATCCAGTTCTGAGGACAGTCACAAAGTTCTTTTTTAAATGAGATACGTCGATTCATCTTGTGCACGTCAGTGATCCTTGTTTCTTCACAGACTTTATTTATAACTAGGTGAAAAAAATTTGATAGTAGGATTTGGACCTGCGACTTCCTGAACAGAATCGTACTACATCTCAAGACCAATGTGCCTATCCCAGTTCCCCTCTTCAGGAGACATGCTGCGACTTGGAAAGAAAACACCAACAGTTTATTTAAATGGTGCTATCACTTTTCTTGGAGGGAACAGACAAGTGTGTTTGGAAAGACAAGCTCCCCCCCCCACTCACTCTTCAAGGTTGCTAGTCAGACGTCATTAATCTGCACACTGGAAAAGCTCGGAATCACACCCAAAGCCATGACACGAGTATCAATAGTAAAAGGGGAATCGCTCGCTTTTTTACTCACTTGACAGATGTGGAAATAGCAGGACTTTCTGTGGTAAATATTTCACTCGCAGAAATTGACTTGAGCAGCAGTGATGCCCCCAGGCCAGATTATCTGAAGTTCCGTCAGAGCAAACCATCCATCAAGAAGGACAAGGGGGCTAAACCCAAGCAGCCCCGCCCAAAAGAGAAGCGTCACCACACCTCCGATACCAAGACAAGGTTTGTGGCTCGAATTTGGCGAACCAGGGAAATAGGAGGTCCATCGGCTGTGGTTTGGGCATTTTTTTTACCCTTTGAGTTTTGAGCATTAAGCATTTCAGTTGCCTGTTACACACTTACAACTAATTAGTTATTCTGAAAGAGTCTTTGTCTTGCTTTCCGAAAAGGTCATTTGATCCAGAAGTCTCTGCAAAGCGAGAGGCTGAACTGACAGCGCAAGTCCAAAGTTTTGCCAAGGATCGAACCGCAGATCGGCTGGCATTTCCTCCTACTCTGAACTCTCATGACCGCTTGGTTGTTCATCAGGTGACTCCAAGTCTCAGTCTGGCTCCACCCCATTTGATAGATTACATTGAATAAGATGGATTCAGGGAACATGGCTTCCTTGAGCCTTTAAACAGAGTTACAAGTAATACTTGCTTAAGAATCTTTTTTTTAGATCTGACCTTTTACATTATGAATTAACTTTGTGAGACTGTGTCTTAGAATGTGTTACCATACAGTGAATGAGCCCCGAGCTGGACCAAGAGAGGGCAGAGTTTGCCTAGCAACGGAGGCTCCTTTGGTCAGAACTGCAATTCGCAAATTCATGAAGAACTTCAATTTCCACAGAATTAGACTTGATCTTCTTTGTAGTTGGTATGCAATAACTTCTCCACCTCCCAACTTTAGACCTTGCTTATTTTGTTGAACTTAATTGATTTTTCTGTAGGCTGCTGAACAATTGGGTCTCTACCATTCCAGCATAGGGGAGGGTCGAGATCGACACATCATCATCAGCAGCCAGCCAATCAGGACTGATGTAGCCGAGTCAAAAAGTAGCTCCCATGGCTCTGATGGAAAAGATTCAACTGATTCAGTGGAGGAAAAACTAGCCAATGTACATGTTGATGCTGTCCTCGAAGAATTGAGGACAGAAAACCTGATGGACGTCATCATTGGTGCTGACCATGATGGAACAGATGTGCTATCCCTTGATGCCGAGGGAAACGTTGAAAAGGAAAATACCGATCTAGTCAATGTCAGAGACGGTGCAATCAAGGATATAAATTGTCAAGGGGAGGCGAGCTTTGCTCAGAAAGCGCGACCCCCAAAACAAGAGACCAAGTCTTCCGAGGAGGCGACTGATCTTCACAAATGCAAATTCTGCAAAAAGAAACTGCCGCCGGGGAGTGTGCTCCTTCACGAGATCCACTGCGAGAAAAAGATGGAGGAGAAGCGACGTCTCCAGGAGGTCTCGAAAACCAAGAAGAAGACGGACAAGTCCAAGCAGCGCAACGCCCTGGAGCACACCACAGAGGAAGACTTTGACAAGCTGATCGCCTTGGCGGTGGAGTCGGACAACCGCTGCAACTTTGTCCGGTGCGCCGAGAGGATCGCGCTGACGGGCGTGCGGTGCGCCTTCTGCAACCGGCGCTACTGCTTCGGCCACGCCATGCCCGAGGTGCACGGCTGCGGGGAGATGGCCCGGGCCCACGCCCGGAAGGTTGTGCACCGGGAGAAGGAGGTGTGGGCTGGGTCTGGGACACGGGAGAGGAAGGTGGACCCCACCCGCCGGGCCCAGCTAGAGAGGAAGCTGGAGAAGAAGCGGGGCGAGATGGAGGAGAAGAGAACCAGGAAATCAGCCAAGAAGAAATGAATATAGAGTGCCAAGGACTCGTCGCTAGACTAGTACTGCATCCTTGTGATGTGATGCCCCTGAACTCCAGATTTTCTATCCCGTCAAACTTTGGTAGAAGGCCCGAACCGTGGCCGCACAGACCCACACTGAGCTGGAACAGGTTTATCAAACCCACAAGCAGTATTCTGGCTTCATTCTGATCTTTGCCTGCCAGACTTCTGTATTTGGCAAACTTACATAATGGCTTTCCATGATGCCGTTGTGGCCTAAAATTGTCAATTTTTGAAAACCTGCATTGTCTTAAATTTTGTGAACATTTATGACATTATTTGCAATTGTCATTTCGTTTCATACTGGGGCTGTCTATTCACAGACAGGTAGTTTGCCACCACTACATCAGGACAGTTTTATAATCGAGAAGTTGTATCTTTCCAACCCCTTCCCTTTTAACACTTTTTCCCCAAATTCTGTAGCATTCTTAGATACTCCAGGGGCAAGATTCCCGTCAGGGTTACGACACAGCACCAAAAATGACGCCTCGTGTTATGTTCACAGAACCATTTGCTTAGCCCAGTCACCCGTGACCCGTATCACCCGGATCCAATAAATTTGGAGGAGGGGGGGTGAGTTGACCAACAAAATACCCTTCAACCTTCACTTCAAGAAAAAGACAAGTACAACATTAATAAAATGTCTTATTGTCTTGCATTATGCTGTCTCCCAAAACATTTTAATTATGCAAAAGGGTGAACTGTATACATAACGACATGAACTACACACACATTTATTTACAAAAATCGATACCAACTGAGAAAAGACATACATTATAACCCAGTTCTGAAATGGTCACCCTTCCCAGTACATGAAGTTCGTTCTAAAACAGGCACAAATGCCATGTTAAGAATTTGTGATCTGGTTGATTTCACCTAAATTTCTATTTGATGCTGACAGCCACACATTTCTTGGATGTGCCAACCTAACTTCAAGTTTTGTGTGTTCGCAGACCTTAAATGCACTTATTTACACGCCTTTTTGTCATGTCTGTGCTGTCCCTAAGGTCAACAACAAGGATCTCATATCAATTACTTGCAGGACAGTAAGTGCGGAGTGTCAACGACTATGTATCGTAAAAGAGCATCTTCTAGGTACGGCACGCACGGTGGTTGGCTGCATTTTAAAACTCCTTGTTTTTTTTCCATAATGACTTCAACAGGAATGGCTGGTGTTGTTGACTGAACATTAAAATTGTTTGGGGTTTGAGGCTTTCTCCATACAACAGAACACAACCGAAAAAAAACTTTGTATGAGCTAAAAAGGCAACATGTCTAGTTTCAGTTGATACTAAGAGGGTCCGTTTGAGACGGGGAGGCCTGGTCTTGGGAGGAGTCCACCGGGAGGCGGCATTTCTCCAGGAGGAACTGGCCCGAGGGGCGGCATCACTGAAAGAGATGGGGGAAAGAAATGGAACACGAAATTGAGTATCGACGGCACACTTGAGATTCAAGGCTTGTTTGCAGGGCTGTTAGCGGAGAGCTATTAAAGCAGTGATCATTGGTTTGAGAGTTACGAGGAATTGGGTCACGTCTGAATGATGTCATGTTTACAGCAGTTTAGATGGATAAAACGGGAAAAGTTGCAAGTGGTGACAAAGTTTTTTTAAGTCCTGATGTGATAGGATTGGACTGGATGGTGCATTTAACTACAGAGGAAGGCGGTGACAATATGACTTCAGTTTCAAAAGTGACTTCTAGCCTTGCAAACTGGACCAGGATTGCTGTGAGAATCGTGAAGCCCAACATTGGAAATTGTAAAGGGAAATGATACTAGATCAGGACTGGCTTCTTACTTGGTGGTCTGGGACCCATACTCATCAGGCCTGGAGGGTTCTGCATGAGCGGTCGTTGGCCCGGTGGTCCACCCATCATCGGCGCCCCCATGGGACCCCTCGGAGGCATGGGACCGCGAGGCCCGCCGTAGTTGGAGGGGGGTGGGACTGCTGCCCCACCGGGAGGCGGAGGCATGCCACCAGGCCCGCCCTCATTGAACGGGTTGTGCTGGATTTTGCCGGACTGGAATGCAGCCGCTGTTGATTTGAGAGACGAAAACAAATATTACCAACATCTTACTAACTTATTGCTGCATTTTTACCGTAAATATGACGTGAATGTACACTCAATAAAGTAAATGCAGCTTATGAATTTTCATGTATATAGTAATGCATGACATCTTCATCTGTTGAACTATAAATAGTGACCAATCAGCAGTCATCTCTAATTAATAATACTGGCAGGTGGCCAATCACACAATTAAGGGCAATACGGTACATACAAATCAGTGTAGAATATGTTAATTCTAGCACTGGTGAATGCAGGATGTCATACCTGCTTTGTGCACACGACAAAATATTTACGTCACGATCTATGTCAAGAAGGCGAAGAATTTATGACGAAGGAAGAACCAGCAGACATGTTGGATCATTTCTCAACAGTATCAAGATGGGGGGGGGACCAGTGGACTTACTGGTTCTGTCGATCAAACTCTGCGCTTGTTCCTCCATCCATTTCTGGTAGTAGATGCGGACATTCTCTTTATGCTTCCTTCCATTGCAGTGTGTTTTCCTGACAGACGGCTAGCAACGAAATGAATACCAGAAATCATAAAAACCACTAGGCTACCACAATAAAAACAATATATATATTTTCCAGACAGAAATCCGGGATGTTCGTTGCATTCTCATGACCTATGTGACGTCCTACATCATTTAATTTGGAGATTACAAAAACCTGAAACAGGTATCACTCATGTCACTATCAGTCAGCAACTCACCGAGTCGTGGGTGAGGTAAGTATCACAGTAGTCACAATAGTACCTGTTCAAAACGAAATCATGAAAATGGGTTAACATAAATAACATGATTGCTGCAGTGTATAGCAACTGATATAGAAGCATGCCATAGGCCCATCGCATTTACGTGTTTCATTCACGAACATGCACGTTGAGCACAGCGCACGACTGGCATGCTGCATAAGAAAATTGGCTGCGAATGGAAACTCGCCGAAAATCACACTACTAACTCTAGGATCGCATGTAAGTACGCCATCGAGTACAATGCTTACTTATTTACACACAACCGCCAAAAAGTATACTCACTTTGGCATTTTGGAGGGCAAAATGTCGACGACTTTCCGGTTCAAACAACAAACGTTCATACAGCACGCTAGGAAAATGCTGCAAGCGGCACGCCGGGTACCTCTTTTCAACGTTACTAGTACTGCGCACGGGACCAGTCTATTTTCGGACCGTCAATTGGATATAGCGCCATCAACGGCTAACATCGCTCACCCGTACAGAAAGTTCTATAATTCTCTACAAGTTCTGAAGAGCTCCATCTATTCTGGAAAATTACTGAAATCAACAATGAAATGAATTTTATGACACTCTGAAGTAAAGAACCACCTCGCCTACAATAACCCCGGCCAGGAAATTTAATGCCAAATTTATAAAAATCAAGTAAAACAACCAATAAACAGACACAACTGAAATTACTCATGTCAAGGAAGTTTATTGCAACCTCATTCAAATCTGGAACATAGGCAATCTGACTATAGATCGGTTACACTGGGTTGCATATGCATTTGAAAAACGTAAACTGACAATTGCATTATATTCAGCATATCCCAGAATTTCAAAAAATACCAAAGACGTGAGGGGTGCTGGTTCTTTGTGCAGTTGACTGTCGTCATTAAGTTGCACGGACCAGATAAATTTATGTTTACCAAAGTTATGTGGTTTTGTCATAAGAGAAGTGGAAAGCATAAGAATTTAAGAAATCGGGTTTCTCAAAATCTGTTTTTTACGACAGTTTTTGTTACAACAGTGTTCAACAACAAGTGAAATGGAGCTGAGTAGATCTGCGTATCAATTTTAAGCAGCGAGGGGTAAATTTTAAAAGTACTAAATGACTAGATAAGTGTCATTAACCTCCGTCTTAATAGTTCATCTTACTGTGGTTTAAACTCGTTTCAAAGCTAAAAAAGTGATTTGTGATGAACCGCACGATGGCATGTATGCAATTTAAAATCACTCAGTTGGAAAATTATTTCCAAGATTTGCCTATTTTGTTAAACTCAGGATGGAGTGGGTTCCACCGCTCTGATCAAGTTTTTCATTTACGGAGAGTTGATTGTATAAACTTTTAACAGCAGGCATACAGAAAAGTATGCATCAGTCCACAAACAATTATATTCGTAGCAATGTTAAGCATGATCGGCCGACTTGGACGATCACCTGATCTGCACTATTGGTTGATCCTCCATGAAATCTTCCACTTTACTTCTTCTTGAAACACTCTTCCACAACCTCAAATTAGAACGGAAAGATGACTAGCTGATTGCAGAAAATTAACAAACTGTCGAATCAGATCAACCGATCCTGCAAAGATCAAGTGATCCCAAAGACTGTTCAACAGAACCTAACATTAATATGCCTAAATATGAATCAGATATCATCGACATTTCAAGTGGATCTGAATTAAGTATATTTATGCTCTTTCCACCAAAGCATTGTGGAAGCAGGTCAAGTGCTACGCGGCAACTCAGGCCAGTTGAAGTACTACTGTCCAGAACAAAGCTCAAGAGGGGGCATCGACGCTGGATTGTTCACATCACATGCTTTGCCACACTGTTTCGACGGGCTTGTCCTCACAGCCAGAAACAAGCTAAAACAAACCAAAAATTAAAATTTAACAAACTCTTAAAGATGCCAAAACTAAAATTATGTACACTGCGTTTTGCTCAATTTCTTTGGCCACCTTGGTGATTCTCAGCAGAAGTTTTAACCTGAAATCTTCCAACCCGCACAATGCCAGGTCTGGTTCCTTGACTCGATGTAGCCAATTAATTCAAACACGACCAATACGTCAGGCCCCTGCCTCAGTTTCTACTCACCGACTGCTCCCCGGCAGTCTGGGTGACAACTGGCACCACCGATGTGACCAGGGTTGCCGGCTGGTAGTCCGTCATGGTGGTGTACTGCTGTTCTGGCTGTAGGGTCTGCTGAGGGCTGTCTTGGGCCAGCGTGCTGACCGTTTCATATCTCGTAACCTGTATTTGGGTCGTGAGATATCAATCCAATAGCAACGATAAAAGCATCTGTCATGTCAGCACTTGGGGGAGTGTCAGTTGGGACAAATACATGGACAAAAGGTTTGGTGTGAAGGAAATCACGTGTATTCACTTTGTAGGTAATGAAAGTCAAGCAGTCATTAGAATTACAGGGAAGAATTTTTGTAAGAGGTCAGTTTTGGGTTCTGAAACCATTTTTCCCTTTCAGCGTTGGCACATGCCATTCAAAACAGTCACACCTCAAAAACATCCATCTTGCCAGATGTTTGCACCGGAATTTACCCACATCTACAACAGGTGAACCTTCCAACCACTGCTGGGTTCGAGGCAGTCCCCGTCCACCTGTTAGTCTTTCAGCACCTCAGTCTCTCACCTGGGCCTTGGGCTGTTTGTCGGCGGTCTCTTCCTTGCTGTGCGTCTGCAGGTGTATGTTGAGGGCGCAGCGCCGCTTGGCCGCGTACAGGCAGAACGGGCATTTGAACGGCCGCTCGCCGGTGTGCTTACGGGAGTGGATGTCCAGTCCCTTCTTGTCCACACAGGAGAAGCTGCAGACCTGGCACTTGAAGGGGCGGATGGTGGAGTGCTTGGCCATGACGTGTTTCTGCGATGAAGCGGAGGAATTTTGTGCTGCTTAAAAAAAATTAATCGCTTAAAGGCCTTTTTTAGCACTAAAATATATCTGAACAAAATTTGTGAAATTTAAACTTTGGCTGTTTCAGTTTTGTCAGCAAAACCCTGCAATATTGTTATGTTGTGTGCGATCAGTCAATCTGGGTGATTGTACAATCTTTGCACAATCTGTCAATCTTATAGCATGAGTTGCCAATAATTCCACTGATAGCCAGTTGCTTTTTTTCTTTCTAACTCACAGTTGTGGAAGATTTTTTTGAAAAAGGATAGTTAAGTCGGTGATATCACAGAGCATCGACTCACAGCACAATTGATCGCCCAATCATGCTGATTAACTGCTTGCAGTTGCACCTAATATGAAATTTTTAATCCAAATAAGACAGCATTCTGTAAACCTTTAATGTACTTCCGTCGGCACTAGCGTAGGAGCAAAGTTTGCATTTGTAAGGCTTTTCTCCTGTATGCTTCCTCATATGCACCAGGAAGTTGTCACGTTTCTTGGTGCTGTAGCCGCAGTGCTCGCACACGAGAGGGTTGAGGGCGTTCTTATGCAGTGGGGACGAGTAGTGCCGATTCAGACGCTCGGCGCTAACGTAGGACTTCTTGCAGAGGCTGCAGAAGAATTCCGACTGGTGGGTGGCCTGGTGGATGGCCATGCGCGCCTTGAAGGGAGTGCTGTAGTCGCAGTGGCTGCAGTGGAAGACAGGCCGGACCTGCTCGTGCTTCTTGGAGACGTGGTACTTGACGCTGGCCCGCGTCGCCAGCGCCTCGCCGCAGATCTCGCAGAGGAACTTGCGGGCCCGCTGGTGCTTCTTCTTGACGTGCCGCTCCAGCTCGGTCAGCGTCTTGTAGCGAGCATGACAGGTGGTGCAGACGAAGAGCTTATGGCCCTTGTAGGAGCGGCCGGTGAAGGGGGAGGCGATGCCCAGCGACTCGCCCGTGGGGATGACCGCTTTGCTCTTCCTGCTCTTCTTGAACTGGATGGCTGTGGGCGGGCCGTTGCCCCGGCCATGGTGCAGGACAGTGATGGTGGTGGCCTTTGGGTTGGACTTGGAGGCCGTGTTGGCGATCTCTTGGATGTCGATGTCTCCGGCACCCGGCCCAAGACCTATCTGGATCGGAACTGGCTTCAAGAGGGCAGCCTCCTCGCTTGAGTCCTCCTGGTTATCCTGTTTGCTGCCCTCATCGCTGTCCTCATCTTCCACCCCACCATCATCATCATTCTCACTCTCATCGTCGCTGTCGGTCTTCTTGTCGATTTGCAAGGTTTGGGCCAGTTCTTCCTCGTTGACAGTCACAAGCCCTCCTCTTTCAGATGCGTCAATTTCCATGGCTGCTGTCACACCTGCGTCCTGGATCAATGAACCCGATCGGCCATTTGCAACCTCCGTCAATGATGCTGAATTAGTAACATGCCTTTCTGTGGTCTCACTCCCTGCCGCTGTCTGCTGACACTTGGCTGTATCCTGTTCATTCTCGTGTCCAATTCCCATCAAAAGTTCAAGAGCATTTCCCTCAGCTGATGTCCTCTTCATTTCACTGGTAACCTCCACCTGTATCGGTACACTGTTGTCTGTTCCACTTGGTACTGGCGTAACTTCACTTGCAGCATTTGATGAAAGGCTTAACCTCTCTGCCGTGACAGTAGCTATGATGCTGGGTACAGTGTTTCCGGCTGTGAATGTTTGGGAAGCGAAAGGTGGATTTTGCATTTCACTTGATGACATTGTCATGGTCACAACTGCCGGTGGTAAAGTCACTTGTTTATCCCCAGTTTCCGAGATTCCATCATACCCTGCCTGAGGCTGATCTGGTGTCATCCCCTTGCCAGCCCCTGTCACTGGGAAATGTTTCTCGGTCATGTGTTGAGCCATAACAGCCTTCAAAGCGCTGTGAAACTTGCAGAGTTTGCAGCGGTAGACTTCGACCAGAAAGACGTCCATGTGCTCCCTGAAGCTGTCGAAGGACTTCATCTGCTCGGGGCTGGGCTGCTGCGTCTTCAGAAGGGTGATCTGCTTCAAGGCCAGCGGGGCTAACGGGGGCGTGGTGGACACGCTCCCTGCCCCACTGCCCGTCCCACCCGCCGTTGCGACCGGTTGACATGGTGGACGAGCAGGTGAAACTGCTGCTGGTTGCACCCCGGGGATCGGATCCGCCGCTATCACCGGTACAATGCTGATATTTACCGGTACACTGCCGGTCGTCTTGAGTGGTGACTGCAGATTCTGCTGTGGAATTTCACCTTGAAGATGAGTTGTCGTAGCGGCGGTAATAACCCCGCCTTCCAAGCCAGGTCCTTGTATCAGAATCGTATTAACGTTCGTTTTCTTCTGTGCACTTGCCATAGGGCCTAGTTCTCCTTAGTTCAAGTCTACAGTAGCTGCTCAGTCTGTCAAATTATTCATGACAAATAACTCCTTACGGAAAACTGACCCGAGTTTACGCTTTCCTTAAAGACATTACTGAAGTCATGATGTTCCAAATTTGCCGCGAGATCGTGTTGTTTTCCCGCAGGAAGGATTTTGAGCAGCATAAGGGGTCCGCCCTGTTCACACACAAAATTCAACATGGCTGCGTCGACGTGCACGGCGTATATATAGCTAATTAACATAATTTACTCAGCAAATTTTGGGAGTGACTCGGAGCTGAGGAAGTGGGGACAACCTGAACCCTACTTGCGTGTCAGAAGTTGATTTTGATGAGTATTATTGCCAAAAAAAATTGCAAGAATTTTATTTGTTCAACTTCCCTAGTCCTAAATACCAGGCACTTTTTCCTGTAGCATTCACATTTCTGACCATTTTCAAATTGTCTAATTAGTAGTTATATGGTTTCACTATAAAGCTTAATTGTTTAACCTTGTATCATTGACTCTTCCTCCATTTTTCAAGGCCCCCAAAATTTCAGTTGATTCGATTGGTCCAAAGAATGATCACGAGCAATGGAAAAATAAAAACATATCGAAATAGGTTGCATGTATAATTGATGCGTTAATTGAACAAAGGTTTACAACTCAATTCAGACATTCAAGCAGATGACTGATTCTTTGTTGCTAATTAAATGTCTTGCGTGTCGAATGCGGAATGTCACAATCGTCAATGGATAATGCTTCAGTGCAATTAGCAAAAGCATAAAGCTGTTCGTTTCCTCCTGTACACGGCAATAACACCAAACAGCCGTCAAACTAGGTTAATTGATTAATCTGAGCATGCGCTCTCTCTTGGCAACGATACAAAACAACAGCGGCGAGCCCTGACTGCAGTCAATCTAGCTCTGTAGCAGGTGTAACGTGATGGTGCGACCACGGATCAATTTGCAAAACATTCTGCACGTGGACGTGGGATTTGTAACTGAATATTGTCGTTGACGTGGAATTGAACAAGATTTTCTTACGGACAGAACGTGTGATCTCCCGCTGATTCTGAATTTGTGGCTGGTGAGTGAATGTTTGTGTATTTCTTGGGTTTACTCCCTACGCGTTTGACACCTGACGTGGTGTATTGCACGTACATGTATGCACCCACTCCGCACGGGTAAAGGGCAAGCCTTCCACGGCACGCCGCCGTGCTGTCATTCATCATGGGCAGTGCCAGTTTTGGGAGAGTTGATCAGAGACTAGTCCGGCGCTATACGCTAGAACTCTCTCTGGAAAGAGTTCTATGTACAAACAACACTTGATGCACCTGTGCACAAACCTAGGAGACTTGTCTGAGCAAACCTAAGTGTTTTCTTAGCAAATGCTTCAGAATTTTCTTAGCTACATTTCGGAAAGAGTTTCATGTACGGATGCCGCTAGCACCCTGTGTACAACCCCAATATGGGACTGGTCTGAAAAATTGTGTTTGCTAGTAAACGACGTGTCATGCTTGTTTTATCCCTCATAAATTTAACTTTTCTGGACATATTTTTGCTTTCTGACGGCAAAGAGGTCACTGTAGGGAATAATTACTGACGTATGTATATGGAATTCTTCCCTTCCTTTTTGTTTGCATTGAGGCTTTACAGAATTTGGAAAAAATCATTTAGAATAATCATGGAGGGTGTTTTATGCCTCCATGGAATAAGTCTAACGGGAGTTAAGAACAGTTATTGATATTTCCTAACTGTTTTCAGTCCGAGATTCACGTCTTTACAGCACTTTTGCTATAAGTGATGCTTATTGAGATTATATATGATGAAAAAAGTGGAATGTGGATGCAGCATGCTTTTCTTTTTAATAAAAATACTAATTTTAAAAGATATCTGAAATTTGAATCGGATGATTTGAGATGTAGCTGAAGTAACATAAGTCCAAATGTACCTTGAGAACTTTGTGAATTTCCACTACCGTGAGTAACAGTGCTGGAGTTTCTTAACCCTAACTCCCCAGAGTGATTTACTAGGAACCATACCCATTCACACAAATTCCAACACCATATTGTAAACTGTGCACAAAAACTGTTGGACTCTGTTTATTTTGGGTATGCCTGAACCCATGTTAAAGCACAAGCAGTTTAGGGGTACAGTACCCAGTGCCACAGATTCAAACACTTTACTGGTGTTCAATTCTGTGTGGTTAGGGAAGCTTAGGGTTAAGCTAGCACTGAGGCAGTTCTTTCTAAATTACAGAAGTTGAACAGGAGGATTGAATCTCTTAAACGGATATATGTACTGTACCGTGAGTGTGCTGTGTCAGTGCTGTTTAAAATTGAGAACGACATATTGCAATATCTTGCTCTAGTTCATGCTGAGGGGAATCCCCTTGAATATTATAAACCTTGCCTTTCTGTTTTGAAATAAATGCTTCTTATACATGTACATACAGTGAACTATCTGCTCCAAGCAGGAACAAAAGAGGACGTGTTTTGACTAGAAATTTACAGTCCTTTGGTACTCACGCACCGCAAGTAGCTGCGCAAGTTTATGCGCGTTTGACGCAGAGCACGCCGAGTACGCACAATGATTTAAGTCTAGAATTTGTGGTCTTTGCGTCCACGTCGAACACCTGCTAGAACCCGTTTGGAAAACTTAGTACCATCTGTCTTTCTTTTGCCAGTGAGGGTGCACTTCAGCTCAGCCTGGATAGCAGTGCAGATCATCACATCACTCTGCAATGAATGCGGATTTTGTGTATGTGCGTGTTGTGGTTTTCACATAATTCTGAAAGTTTTTTTTCTTGAAATTTCAACCTGTTCAAAGTACCTGTACCATTCACAAGTGTAATATGTGATTTCACAATGTTCTAAGCTTAGCACCATCCATTAACAAATGTAATTTGTCCGAAGAGAAAACTCTGGAGATGTTTGTCCCGAGATGCTACATGTACCTTCAATGGATGAGATTTGCCTAAATCACATTATCAGCCTGTGGGACAGCCTTGGCAGTGCAGTGACAGCTCCCTGATGGCTGCTTGTGTGTGTCAACAGCACTGGAGTCAGCCGCTGCCATAGCAAACCACGAGAGACCTAAGACTTGCCAATTTGAGGGAGACTAGAGACGATTGCATTGAGCAGATGAATATCAAACGTGTGCTGTAGCAGCTTCTTGGATGCAAATTAGGTGCACGAGATGTGGATTACACAGCATACCCCACGGGTACAGAGGGTGTACTTAAATTTGTCACCAGGGATGTTACTGCTTGCAGAGTTATATTTGAAGGGTTTTTCTCACTTTGTAAAAGTCTGTTGTACGGTGTTGTATCAGTAAAAATATACCTTAATAGAAAATGTTGGCTGAAAACATCCTTATTGACTTATTTTTATAACATTTATTAACACAACATACAGTTAAAAGGACAAAATCCAATAAAGTCTTTGCGAGAAAATTGACTTCTTTTTTTAACTTACGTACAAATGGAGTTTCTCATGACTGGTGCTGTTTTAGTGAAATCGAAGACAAATTTTAAATGCCTTCACAAGAACGGCCACTTTTTATATTTCCAAAATGCTCAAAACAAAATTTGGCTATTCTCCCGCAGTCTTTTGATTCGACTCCTAGCACCTCTGCATTTGCAGGAATTTTCTTTTTATTTCTTGTTGTCACTTCTGTAAACGGGTCAAATGTCATATGTGATTATGCAGTCAAGGTTTGCTCCGTTGATAAGAGGGAGTTAAGTTGCATTTTATCACTGACTGAAACAAGATCAAATGTGCATAATGGAAGTTTACAAATCACTTGAACGCAAACTACCTCTGCCTCTTTGAGCAAAATTCTCTGTTGATTATATTAGTCATGATTTTCATTACATACCAGGCCATGCACTAACTTTTTTTCCTGGATAGCCCACTGGGCTAGTAAACTGGGTATTTTACTAGCCCATTTGGAGTTTTACTAGCCGGTATGTAAAAAAAAAAAGAAAACCCAAAATTATTGTTAGCTTTAATACCAACGAAGAAAATAAACTACTAATGGGAAGAATAAGAGGCACGATTCGTTGTATGTCACATGCACTCGTAGGTAAAGGTTTTGAAATCGTTTATTTATTATCACCAAAACCAATACATGTGTTTTGATCTAAATTTTAACACTACAGGTAGGTTCTATACTGATTTTTTCACTAGCCCACCGGGCAACCAAGGAACCAAGTCTAGATAGCCCGGAGCATTTTTCGCTAGAATTTGTACCAGGTTAGTACTATTTCAAGGCCTGCATACAGTACTTGTTCTGAGCAAGGGCGTAGACATAGGGGAGCCTGAGGGGGCACATCCTCCCCCCAAAATTCCCAGTGTCCCCCGGGTGCCCCCCTAGAAAAAAAAAGGGAATAAAATCACACTTTGCAATGTTGAATGGATTTTGAACAAGGCTAACAAACGCTTGCCTCCCAAAAACCACACCACTGAAAGCTGGTACCCGCCTCAGATGCTGGTGCCCCCTTGTGCCCCCCAGTGAGATCCTAGCTACCTGTACACCATTTTTTGTAAGGTTCTTGTCTCTGAAAGTGAAAGAGCAAGTTGCACAGTATACATGAACAAATTCTGTAATTGAAGAACAAAGAGACTTAAAAGCACAAACCCAAAAAAATTAACGTGTAATTGGTCAAGGCCTCCTGTTCAAGTGAACCCTGAGACTGATTTTAACTGCAGCCACTTGGGCATAATTTTTAATAAATTTCCTGACGTGTAATTCACAATGTGCCTTCTCCGTCACGCAGTTGTATTAATTCAGTTGATTGACCACCAAAGCTTCAGGAGCCAAGTAGCTCTCGAGGGGTAAAATAAATGTATTTTCTAATCAAGTCCTTTTAATTAAATTACTCTCTGAAGGGTTTCTGGCAAATTACGGGGGGGGTGTTACAGCGATGAAAGATCAAGGAACTTGTGGGATTTTGTCATTTCCTGAGAGCGTTTTGCTTGTTTGCGAGTCAGTGCGAATGAAGCTGCAGCCCTGAATATGCCGATCAATATTTTCAGTTTTGTGTAGACTGATACAGTATGTTCAGCTATGAGCAGCAGCTTACAAATGATTCATGGATGATTTCAGAAATCTGCTCCTTTGTTCAGTTTTAGGAAGCCTGCTTCCTGTCTTTTAGCCTTCATGGGGTAATCATCGCAGCCATTATAGGCTTGGAGCTATAGTTTGTGTCATGAATTTCTGGGGGGAGGGGGTTACACCCATCTCCATATGTCATTGTTGTTTTTTAGTGACCCAAAACAGTCACATAATAGGATGATATAACCGCATGTCACACTCACTGTTTAGTGGTGGATTTAGAGGGGTGCAGTTGGCACACCCCTCCCCCCACCTGCCCGCATGGCAGTGAATTTGAAATTGGCTCCATTGCAGTTACATTGTGAGAAAGGGCTTCACACTGCAGGCTCGCATTTGACCATCCATGTTCGCATGTCCCCTTCTCTGAAAGTCCTGGATCCACGGGTGGATGCTCAATTGTTTTTAGGGTGGCCAAAACAAGTAATTGCCCCCGTGGCACTTTTGTGTTAACTGATCTCTCCAGTCACAATTAAGCAGCTGCTCTGAAACAGTTTCCTGAACAAAACTGCGCTGTCCACACAAGACAACCTCCATTAAAGACACTTAATAATATCTTCACTTTGATTTTTTAAAAAAAATCATCAGTTGGGGGGGCGTGGCTCCTGTTGGCCCCTCCTGGATCCGCCCTCGCTTGGGTATACCCTTGCCATTAGACAGTACACCAGCCAGGTTGGGTGGTATCCTGTATGCATGGCATCCCTATGTGTTTTGTAAACATCATGGCCCCAGTCACAGCAGTCAGCAACTGTTAAATGAAGTACACACCTGCTGCGTTCTTGTAAATTATCGCACCTGTGGGGGTATTATCACTTACAGAAAATTTTGGAGAATGATGTACATGTAATGTAGCTTTATAAATCATGCCACAAGGTTCACTGTATTGCATTGGTAGTCTACATGTGTTGCCTCATTCCAGTTATTGGATTCTGTAGGATAAGCACATTCATTGGATTCTGTGGTTTTAGAGTA